ATAACTTGTTTTGCCTCCCAGCGTTTCTTACGGGCCTATGGTACCCTGGGGGTAGGTCTTCGGCTCACTCCCCACAACAGCCCTGTGAGATGGACAGGACTCGCTCCATTTTATAGGACAGGAATCTGAGGCTGTCGGAAGTTAATGATCTTGACTCCTTACTAAATGGCACAGTCGTCACTCGTCACGCAACGGATTTTATTCCAATCCACATCCGCCAGATTCCTAGGACCCCCTGGGCCTTTTGGTATGGAGTGGGAAGTCCCTCTGGGGGCAATTAGCACAGTTGCCGCAGGACTAGGCAGACTGTCAAAGGCAGTTTTCTGCTCCCTCCTTTGATTTAGATTTGTCGCACTATAAAAAAAAAAAATAAAAAATAAAATGTCTGGCTCCCAGCCAGCACTTAGCCGCCTGGGCCAGCCCAGGGCTAGAGAAGTGATTCATGTGGACAAACATCAACCAGGATGTTTGTGACCATGACTGTTGTAAACCTGTGACAGAAGGTGCCAGGCCCAGCACAGGTCCAGCGGTTTCCCGCCAGTGCTCTGCCACCTCAATAAAAACCTCGAAGCCAAGTCTCCCTCCTTCCTGCTTCAATCCGGCAAGACTCTCAGCTTTTATAGAGAGCTCAAGACAGCATTACCATCCCTAGGATCAGCCTTGGCGTGATAAAAGGCCCTGGCATGGATAACCGACACAGGCTCTTGGGAAATTCGTAGGAAAATCAAGACCGGAGAAGAGTGAATCTCCTGCAAGCTAGGTTTTCACCTGTTAGGGTTGGAAACCCTCAAATTAGTTGGATCAGTTCATATTGCCTAATGAAGAACTCCACAATAATGGACGCATTCTTTTCCTCATTATTTTTGGAGTTAAGGGTGTTTAGAGGCTGTTTGCTCAAGGAGAGGGTAAACAGAGCTTGCTGATGCCCATGGCCAGTGAGCATGCCTCCAAAGCCATTCCAACCTGGCCAGCGGCGTGCATCTAATCAAAGAACCTGAGCCAAGAAGTGGGGGTGAACTAATCCTTTTTTGTATTTGAAGTGTATTTTTTTTTTATTTCGGTCCTCAAGACCTCTGAGGTTGGCGTTATCAAAATGTCTATTCCATGCCTCCAAAACCTGTGGCGTGTTGCACACCTATCCACCACCTTCAGTTCAGCCAATCTTAAGCAAATATTGGTTGTTTGAACTTATCTAAAGACACAGTTTGCACACAAAGGAGAGTTCTTAAGTTGATAGCCTTCCCTCCCTCTCCACCAAGATGACGTAAGTGTTTAAGGCCTTCAGTGTCTCATATGGTCCACGACGGGCAAACGTCTAGTGAGAGCCAGCAGTTGAATGGTAGAATCCGTATCTTCCTCAAAGAGAATGATTCTTAGGCAAGGGAGTTAGACCACAGGCCACCAAGGCCAGTGAACCAAAGTCAGTGTCACTGGGAAGATCATTGTTTTCTTGGTCATCTTTATTTATTTATTTATTTGTTTGTTTGTTTGTTTGTTTATTATGTATACAATATTCTGTCTGTGTGTGTGCCTGAAGGCCAGAAGAGGGCGCCAGACCTCTTTACAGATGGTTGTGAGCCACCATGTGGTTGCTGGGAATTGAACTCAGGACCTTTGGAAGAGCAGGCAATGCTCTTAACCACTGAGCCATCTCTCCAGCCCTTTCTTGGTCATCTTTAAAACACGTCACATAGCTAGCCAGGGTTAAGGTGTTACTGGGACTAGTAAAAGTTCTGAGAGGGCTGGAGAGATGGCTCAGTGGTTAAGAGCATTGCCTGCTCTTCCAAAGGTCCTGAGTTCAATTCCCAGCAACCACATGGTGGCTCACAACCATCTGTAATGAGGTCTGGTGCCCTCTTCTGGCCTTCAGGCATATACACAGAAAAAATATTGTATACATAATAAATAAATAATATAAAAAAAAAAGTTCTGAGAAGCCCGCCAACGGGTCATTTTCCAGTTTTTACTGTTTTTCCCCGTAGGTGTTTTTTTATGATATATATGTATTAATATGAGTACACACATTCCAAATGAAGGTCGGGGGTGACTCTGTGGAGCCTGCCTCTCACTCTGTAGCTGAGGAGGAACTTGAATTTCTGATCCCACTGCCTCTACCTCGCAGGCGCTGAGATTACAGATGTGAGCTGCTATGCCTTGTGTATTCAGCATCAGGGAATCAAACCTAGGGCTTCGTAGATGCTAGACAAGCATTCTTTTTTTTTTTTTTTCGAGACAGGGTTTCTTTCTTTGTGTCTTTGGAGCCTGTCCTGGCACTAGTTTTGTAGACCAGACTGGTCTCGAACTCACAGGGATCCGCCTGCCTCTGCCTCCCGAGTGCTGGGATTAAAGGCATGTGCCGCCATCGCCCGGCTTTTAAATTTTTTTTTTTTTTGGTAGACAAGCATTCTATAAGCGTTGCAAAATGTGGGCAGTTTGAAAACATGTCAAAAGTCTAACAAAGTCTAGCAAAACCTAGCAAACGTTTGGAGAGGTTAAAATAATCCTTTTAGTTACGTCTCAGCCATAGGGGTCACTTCAGTTTGTTTTTTTTTTTAATTTTATATGTGAGTGCTTGCCTTCATGTATGCATGTATGTGTACCACATGCATGCAGTGCCCCCAGAGACCAAAAGAGGGAGTCAGATCCCCTAGAACTGGAATTACAGATAGCCGTGTGGGTGCTGGAAACTGAGCCCAGATCCTCTACAAAAGCAGCAAGTGCTCTTAACCACTGTGCCATCTCTCCATCCCCGGGTCACTTTAAATATTAATGAATCTAACTTTATTCGTGTAAAAATCCCCCTTGCTTCTTTCATGATTTGTTATGCTTGCAGACAGACTAGTGCTTAGGGCCTCCATATAATAATACTTCTCCTCACGGGACTGGACCAGCATTGTTAGTGAGCACTGATGAATGACTTAGAGGGATTATTTTAACCCCTCAAAACTTTAGCTGGGTTTGACATTTAGCATTATTTCAAACCTCTCACATTTTGCATAGATAAATTTTATTCCGCCTTCCCCAATATAGTTCTTGTAAATATTTTATTGTTGACACTACCATATGTGCTTAAGTCACTTAGAGCAAAAACCAAATATTATTTTGCTAATACAGTAACTATTGAGTTTTGCTCTTCCTGATGTCAAATTCCTCCCTCCCCCAAAACAATTTTCAAAAAGCATTTTTGTCGTTGTTAAAAGACATTCACTTCCTACTGCCTGGATTATGTCGCTAACGTTTTAGAGACACCTTGAAAAAGACTCATGGCATATGTTAGCAGAAGTTCAGAGGGAAGGGTGAGAGAAAACACGTAAAACGTGCTAAACACTGCACACAGCTACAAGGGAACAGGCGAGGCGTGCCAGCAGGACCACTGTTAGCAGCCTGAGGGCAATTGAGTGTTAACACCGAGGGCACACTTCCTTCCCACCCTCAAACCCCAAGGCTCCTGAGACCAGTCTACTACCTTCCCCAACTTTCTCCTTTTCCTTTCTTCTTCCTGTTTGGCCTCTTACCACTTTTTAGGTAATTTCACCCCACCTGGAATGCAACGCCTGTCTTCTTTCTCTTTATTTCTGGGAACTGGCACTCCTTTGGTCCTTACTTGCTGAGCCAGAGCCGAGAGCTTGTGAGGGTGATCTATTTTATGAATCCTTCTATGGGCTGGTCTCCCCCACCACAACGCCAGCCTGCTTCCCTCCCCCCAATCCCTACTCCTCATCCCTGGAGAAATTTGAACTCTGTGGCCTCTGAAACTATGCTTGGATCCCCAAGGTCTCCATCTGGACTAAGCCTTTTTTTTTTTTTTTTTTTTTTTTTTTTTTTTGACCAAAGTGAGACCAGGTCAAGGAGGTGGAATGAACAGTACCTCTTTGCAGGCGTGAAGCTCGGGTCCGGTTCCCAGGGTCACCTGGAAGGTGGTCTCAGCCCAGAGCAACAGCCACAGAAGCCGGGATGTGCGCCTTTCACTTCTTCCTCCGCCTCTGGCAGAGAGATGAGGGTTGAGACCAGGCTCAGCCATAGCGCTGTCCTGAGCCAGCGGCAGTAGCGGCTCAGGTGCTGCGGTGGCTGCTTATGTTGGCAGAAAGAGGAAAAAAAAGAGGAGGGAGGTACACAGGGGGAGGATGCAAGGGGCTGGACTCGCTTCAGTCACCTCCCTGCGGCTACGCCAAGGCCGCCCATCCTTCCTCCTCCCTCGGTCCTCTCCTCCTCCTATCCATGTCGCCTTGACAACCGCATCCTCTTCGCTCAGCGCGGGTGGGGCAGGGACCACGCGCGCCTCTGCCGCTCACCTGCCGGTATCCATGGCAGCCGCCACCGCTGGCGCGCGGCGTGGGAGTGCGCGCGCCAGGGTCCGCAACTAACCCAACAGGCTTACGTAAAGCTCGCGGTAAAAGAACTCCCCGTCTCCCCCACAAAAAAAAACATCTCAGCAGTTCATTTCGCCCCTCTTGCTCTTCCAGGTCAGGGGTTATTTCTAAACATCTTATTTTGTAAACGTGGCGTGTGAAATGATAAAGGGAAGACAGACGTCATCACAACCTTCCAGGGATCATCTCCTAGAGCGGCCCCAGCACTAAGTGCAAAAGCCACTTCCACGCTTCCACCCCGCCAAATCCATCCACGTTTTTACAACCGGGTCGATAAGCAACCTGACGTCTGCATAGTTAAACAGCAAGGAGAATGACCTAACCGACAATTTTCCAATCAGGACACGTGAGAACTTTGGGTTTCTGATATTCTCGTACTCTCATTTGCTTTGATAATGGGGACGCTTTCTTTTAGGCGAGGGTGAGAAGGAAATCTTTGAGTCATCCTAAAGGACTTCTTTCGTCAGCTTTTGCGGAACTCCCGTGCTGTGGGAGGCCGGCGTTTTCCTACAGAAGCTCCAGAGTGCAATCCAGGTCGGCTTTCTCGGTATTCACAACCTCCTCTCAAGGAGCCTTCTGAGTTGAACCGCCAGGTGGCGCACCTCTAGAAGGGACTACGTCTCTGTCATAAATGCAGGGGTAGTTGCCTGGCAACCAAAAACTGGGCGTTCCAAACAATTGGGACCCGGGATCCTCGACGAGCCAGGTCGTGCTGCGGCTGCGCTAATCTCCTGGAACTAATTCTGAGTCTTTGGGCCTTTAAGTATGCCTCACTCTCAGGAATCTTTCTCGCACCTTGCGTTAAGTGACGAAGAGACACACTTGGGAAATCTGCGGGCATCTAAGGTACTGAGGTTTCCTCAGAAATTCCCAGTGGGGTCTCCAGCAGACTCTTGGTAACCTAACTCTGGCGAGACCACCTAGTATCAGAGAAATCTGGTTTCTGTCTGTCTCCTTGGTCCACTATTCGGGTCTGCTAACGTTTCAGAAGTGGTTTTCAGGAGAAGTGGTCTTCTGTAGAATAAGGCCCCCCAAAGCAATGACTAATATAAATGACGGGAAAGCTGAGTTCCACCAAATTACTATTTCCTTCTTGCTTTGAGATCTGTACTCCAAAGACAGATGAGATGTGGAATAGATGAGAACCCTCTGAGAGACGCCAGGTCATACTTCAAACAAGTCTTCACGATACCTCTGTCCTCTGGTTAATGCAAGAACACATCTGTTTATGTGTCTGTTTAATTGTGTTTAGTGCTCTGGAAATACAAGCCATATTTTTCCTAGTTTAAGTACTGGGGATATTTGAAAAGGTGCGCAATAAAGTGAATGAAGCGGTAATTTGAGCTTGATAACAATCAAAAGAGCTTCCTTCTATTCAGTCTTGTTATTTATATGATAACAATCCAAAGAGCTTCCTTCTATTCAGTCTTGTTATTTATATGCCAGGCCCTCTGCTAAACTCTAAGGGCATGTAGTCTAAAATTAGATAAAGTTACTGTCCAGTTAGTTTAGTGGGAAAGACAGGCCAGCAACAGCATCAGTAAAGACAAGACAAGCACATGCCTATAATCCCAGCAGTTGGGAGATGAAGACGGGAGAACCAGGAATTCTAAGCCTGCCTGAGCTATAAGAACCTGATTCCAACAACCCACACACATACCAAACACAAACAATGTGCTTCCCACGGGGGCACACGTACTGTGAAGGAGTCACAGGTAGAATGCCCTAAGAGTAGGAGCTTGAAGGAGGGTTTCTCAGAAAAGGTGAGTGCCATCTCGATGAGTCAGCCAGGACAGATGCGTGTGTGTGTGTGTGTGTGTGTGTGTGTGTGTGTGTGAAGTTGGGGAAAAGGAAAGGAAAAGTCAGATATTTAGGGGGAAGGAAGCAGAAGGTGCATATGCCTGGGAAGGAGAGACAGAGTGGTCTGGGAAGCTGCAAATGCAGAAAAGCTAAATGTTGGTGTGAACTAGAGACACAGGGCAATGGGTGCTAGAGACCAGACCTTGGTGGCTGAATGTTGTGAACGTTGCCTCAGAGAGCTAAGAATCCGCCTGGAGGTGTTGGGAATCGGGATTTTAAGCTCTGAAGCATCATGGTCTGAGTGTGTTAAAAATCACACAGCTCTGCACGTGTCTTTCAGTAACTGTGTGTTAAATGAATGTAAGCAAAATGGGGGAAACTATAGCCACAGCATAGCAGGTTCAAGACCAGCCTAGATGATATGAGACACTGTCCTAAAAATTAAAACTGGTGACCTATGAGGGTGAATTTGATTGATGGGGGGAGGGTGCCATTAACATTTAAAGACTGGTCTTAAGAGTAGCTTGTGCTCTGTAAGTTTGTTGTAAATAAGCCACTGCTGATAGAAACGTACTTTGGTCACATCCTTGACTACTGTGTGAATAGAATGTAGCCATAGTGAAAGTGGAATCCAGAGTCTCGAGACAGCTGGCTGGGGTACGCCCAGGTCCCCAACGGAATGAGTCGGTAGAAAGATGCCTGCACCTTTACTATGGCCCTAATAGTCACAGTGCCCGAGTTAAAGAACCAGCCCAGGTACCTGTCCACAGGAATGGATAAATTGTGCTAGACATGCACAGTCAAGTATTATCCTGTCATAAAGAACATTTATATTTTGGGGGGAGATGGGTGTAACATAATAAGGGGGACAAGGCAGATGCAGAGAGGCGGATGTGGTGTATGCAAGATCTAGTTTAAAATGAAAGACTGGAGTAGGTGTGTGGTAGAGCACTTGTCCAGTATGAGTTTGATCCTCAAAACAAGTGTGGGGGGGGGGACATGAAAATAAAGAGGGGACTGTTTGGAAAAGGAACAAGAAAGAATAATGGGGGATAAATGCGGTCACAGTCTTGTGCAGGCATTAAAATATCATGATGAGAGCTGCAGAGATGGCTTAGCAATTAAGAACACTGGCTGTTCTTTCAGAGGTCCTGGGTTCAATTCCCAGCAACCGCATAATGGCTCACAACCGTCTATAATGGGATCTGATGCTCTCTGGCATGCAGGCATCCGTGCAGACAGAGCACACACACACACACACACACACACACACACACACACACACACATATGAAGCCTGTTTCCTATGGTTAGTGTGTGCTGATAATAAAAGACTAAATTTATTGTTTTTTTTGTTTTGTTTCGGTTTGGTTTGGTTTTTCGAGACAGGGTTTCTCTGTGGTTTTGGAGCCTGTCCTGAAACTAGCTCTTGTAGGCCAGATTTATTAATGTACAGAGATGGCTTTCATGTATGTCTGTCACAGAATTAGTCATCAATGAATACAATGAACTCTTCTGGTTCTAAGAAAGTGAGAAAGAGAGAGAGAGAGAGACAGAGAGAGAGAGAAACCACACACAGAAGGGGACTGGGTACGGCAGAAGTGTCTCAGCTCAGCAAGTGCAGCAATCCTGCAGTGACCGACAGCAGTGTCGTGGCGCTAAGATGCATGTTTGAGAGGGATGGAAAGGGCAGGGCAGTGGAATTTGATAACTCGATATGGGACAAAGGAAATGGATAAATATAAGATAGACTCCTGGGTTCTGAGGGCCTAACTAACACCGTCACTGAGGTGGAGCCTCCCAAAGAAGCAGGTTTGGGGAGAAAGGTGTTGACATCAGTCATGCGTATGTTTCTGTGGTGCCTGTGACATCTTTAAATGATTTTGCTGTGGGCAGGCTTGAGAAGTCAGGGTTGAAGATGTATGTCTGGGAGCTACAGGGCCAGTGTGCTGTTTGAAATTGTGGTAGAAAAGGCCTTGTGAATTTAAGAATAAAGCAAGAAGGAACATGCCCAGAAGCAGAAGAAAGATGCAATAGCCAGAGACCAGAGTTAAACCAGAAGGAACTGACATCAGAAGATAGAGAAGTATTTGTGGGGATTCAGAGTGGTGTGGGATGTCCTTCTGTATGTGTGTTGCTTTTTATTGGTTGATGAATAAAGCTGTTTGGGCCAATAGCAGAGTAAAGCCAGGCAGGAAATCCGAGAGAGAGAGAGAGAGAGAGAGAGAGAGAGAGAGAGAGAGAGAGAGAGAGAGAGAGAGAGAAGAGAGTAGGCAGAGTCAAGGAGATGTCATGTAGCTGCCTAAGGAGAAAAATGCCAAAACAGAACTTTCCTGGTAAGCCACAGCCTCGTGCATTTACATAAACAAACAGAAATGGGCTATTTCAAGATGTAAGAGCTTGCTAGAAATATGCCTGAGTCATTGGCCGAACAGTATTATAATTAATACAGTTTCTGTGTGATTTATTCGGGTCTGAATGGCCAGGAAATGAAAGAGCAGTCTCTACTTACACAGAGTTACAGTGCCAGAAATCTCAGGAATCAAATAAGATCAGGGTTGGGAAAGATCTTTCTAGTAGCCACAGAGATCAGCTCAACAACCAGGACGGTGTCAGTGGGCACTGGAAGAGAGGTCACACTACAATGGTTGGAGGCATGAACGGTGACAAAGGGAAGATAGTAATTGTTGGTCATGAAGAAGTGTGGTTCTGTGGAGAGGTGACAGTGTGGCAGACATACCTTGATAAAGGGATAGTAGAGATGTTGGGGCCAGATGAGGGTGTGGAAAATGGTACAGAGAAGGGACCAGCATAGAACCAAACTGGACCCTCTGAATGTAGGTGACAGTTGTGTCGTTAGGGCAGACTGTGGGGCCACTGGCAGTGGGACCAGGATTTATCTCTACTGCTTGTTCTGTCTTTTGGAGCCCATTCCTTTTGGAGAGATACCTTGCTCAGCCTAGATATAGTGGAGAGGACCTTGGTCCTGCCTCAAAGCAATGTGCTAGACTTTGTTGACTCCCCATGGGAAGCCTTAGCCTCTCTGAGGAGTGGATGGGGAGTGGGGTGGGGGAAAGGTGGAGAGGACAGGAGGAGGGGAGGGAGTAGGAACTGGGATTGATATGTAAAATGAGAAGAGCCGGGCAGTGGTGCACAGGCCTTTAATCCCAGCATTTGGGAGGCAGAGGCAGGTGGATCTCTGTGAGTTCGAGACCAGCCTGGTCTACAAGAGCTAGTTCCAGGACAGGCTCCAAAACCACAGAGAAACCCTGTCTCAAAAAAGCAAAAAAATAAAAAAATAATAATAAAATGAGAAGAGATAGTTTCTTTAAAAAAATTAATTTTAAAAAACATAAAAAGAAAAATGTTTCATCTTTTCTCCAAACTTGGAACTTCTAAATATGAACATATATATTGTTTTTCTGACCTGTTCCCCAAGCCTCCTCTACTCCCAGCATCCTGACCCACCAACAACTTCTGATTCCCTGGTCCATTTCAATCATTTCTCACTCAGAACGCTTAGGTAGTCCCCACCCCAGTTATCACATCTCTCTTTGAAGCTGTCCTGAGATTCAAGTAAAATGGGATGGAGCACAGTGATGAACGTGACCCGTGCTTGGAGCACGGTGTGAACGTGACCCGTGCTGGAGCACAGTGATGAACGTGACCCGTGCTGCATCACCAAGGCCTCCCGTAACCAAATCCTGCATGTTGTTTCTCTTTTGCAGAAACTGCCATTTAAGAGCCCAACTCACCTTGCTCAGCAGCAGGAACCCTGGAATCGGCTCAGTTCAACTCCCACAGTTACCTCCATGAGGCGAGATGCCTACTTTTTTGATCCGAAGGTACTTAGCATTGAAATCTACTTCTTTTTGCATCCACTTAGGGCTCAACATGTACCTTCTGTTTTACTTTAATTAATTAGTTAACTAATTTGTTTCAAATAGAACCTTGCTACATAGTCAACGCTGACCTCAGACTTAGTATTTAGCCCAGACTGGCCTGAAACTCTTATCCCTTCTGTACCAGTCTTCTGAGTATTGGAGTAACGGGTTTATACCAGCATGCCTGACATTAATATCCTTTTCTTTTCTTTCTTTCTTTTTTCTTCTTCTTCGAGATAGGATTTTTCTGTGTAACAGCCCCGGCTGTCCTGGAACTCATTTTGTAGACCAGGCTGGCCTCAAATTCATGAGATCCGCCTGCCTCAGCCTCCCGAATGCTGGGATTAAAGGCGTGCGCCACCACCACTGGCATTAATATTCTTTTTTAAGGTAGTCTGAGGTGCCTCAGCATCTTTCCTTTTGTTCCCAATTCAAGATCTTACCAAATCCAAAGCCGACCTTCTAAGTCACAAAGTTTGCTCCAAATTACTTTCTCAAATTTCTTGTCACACGTTGCAGTAAATCAAAGACTGAGCCAGATGGTGGTGGTGCACATACACGAATCTCTCTGAGTTCGAGGCCAGCCTGGTCTACTAAACGAGTTCCAGGATAGCCAGGACTACACAGAGAAACCCTGCCTTGAAAAGCAAAAGCAAAAACAAACCAAAAAAACTCAAAAGCTGAATATAACCATGAATGAGATAAGATGTGTCAAACCCAAAGACCTAACCACGGGAGACCATTCCTATGGACGAGAGTCACCAAGTCATCACCTTGTACAAGGCAGTGTTAAGTCCTGGTGGGTTCCTGCTCTTCTGGATACAATCTGAATAGAACAGGGAGATACAATCTGACTGGGGTCAAGGCACAAATCAGCGAAGTTAACTGTGGGAGGACTGATTCCTCTGCAGATACCAAAGGATGATCTGGATTTCCGCTTAGCCGCCTTGTATGACCACCACACTGGGGTGTTCAAGAACAAAACCGAGATACTGCTACACCAGGAGACCGTCCAGGATATCAGTGGGTAAGTGACGGCAGCAGTCGCTCCCCGCCCTAGGAGCGCCGCCATCAATCGTGTAAGGAAAAATGATGGGTGGCAATATGAACACGTGCATAGTTGGTTTTTATCTGCAGAATAGTTTGCTTTTCTCTTTGTCTTAGATGTGCTGGGGATCAAACTTAGAATGCTTAGTCATGTATGCTAGGCAAGCGCTGTACCACCGAGCTACGTCCTTAGTCCTCATTCCTGTATTCCATTTTCTAAAATGAGTGGAAATAAGTTCATCTGGATAAACGGACAAATGCTTTGATGATTCTAAAATGTAAATAGGTCTTGAACTTGAGATCTTTTTTTTTTTCTTTTTTTTTTTTTTTGGAATTTTCGAGACAGGGTTTCTCTGTAGCTTTGGTTCCTGTCCTGGAACTAGCTCTTGTAGACCAGGCTGGCCTCGAACTCACAGAGATCCACCTGCCTCTGCCTCCGGAGTGCTGGGATTAAAGGCGTGTGCCACCACCGCCTGGCTTGAACTTGAAATCTTATGAAGTTATCTTTCTCTCTCACCATTTCCTGTTTGGTTGACGTCACTCTCCTCTTGTCTTCTCTTGTCTTCCCACCATTGTCAAGACGCAAGACCCAGTTTCCTGGAGAATGTCCTCCGGCTCCCGTTACTTCCCGAGCTAACATCAGACACTGGATCAACCCTAAGAGAGAATCCATCCACAGCATCCAGGGATCCATAGGTGAGGGTCAGAAGACAAGGTGGCACACGGCGGGTGGGGTGGGGGTGCAGTCTCTCTGAGCCACCAGGAATTGGGGTTCCTGGCTGGCAGGAAGCTTAGAGACTATTTAGGGTGTGAATTGGTGATGAAGCCGTCACCTATTTTGACTAAGACTAGGGGACATGCTGACCATAGAACTAGGGATTCAGGTTTTTAGATTAGGCCTCGGTGACGTTTTGAGCAGGGCAGACACAGGAAGTGAATTTGGGAAAAGGCCTTAGTTAACTTCCATCAGTCCCTCGTATGCCAATTTCCCCTCTTTAGGAGAATCTTCTCAGGGCACCAATAAATGCACTGATTAAAGGATTTGGAAAGGGGGTGGGGGCAAAGGGTCTGAAATTCCAGCTCACCCCGTTCTCTTTTCTCCAGTGTCTCCTCACACTGCAGCCACCAACGGAGGTTACTCCCGGAAAAACGATGGTGGCTTCTTCTCCACCTAGTGGTGACAACTGGGCAGTTTCATCATGGTGGAACATCCAGCTGTCCTTCATTAAATAGCTTTGTTCAAGATGAAGCCTGAAGTGTCTGCTGCCCGCGTCACCTTTTGACCACTCTTAAAATGAGGAAAACTCCCCAGTTCTAGAATCGAGTCCTGTTGCAACTTGGAAAGGCATTTTGCCAGAAGGATTTAGGACAGAACAACACTGGTTTGGAAGGGACACAAGTATTCAGTTTACAGGTTTGTAAACTAAAGTCACAGCCCCACAGAGCCACTAAGTGTCAGGGAAACAGGAAATGCACATAGTCTGCTCTCTAAGTGAACAAGTTATCACTATTCTAAATGCACCCTGTAGCTATCTGCTAAAGCCACATTAACAGACTTTAGACTCTTGAGTCTACACATCTGCTTTTCCCTGGTCCTACTCCTTGCCATCCCCCAGTCTCTGTCTCTCTACTGCCTGGAAGTCAATTCTCTTTTCTGTGTTGATTTTGCCTGTGGCATATAGCGCCAATTCTCACGAGCATTGTTCAAAAACTTAGTGTTTGGATTTCAAGGTACCTAAAATTTGATGCATTAACTTGGCTTCTAGTCTTACAAGTCATGGGGCTGGGGAAATAGCTCAGTGGATGAAGTGTTTGCTGGGCAAGCATGGGGTCCCCAGCACACATCTGTAACTCCACTGCTGTGGGGGCAACGGTGTGGGGAGAAAGGCAGATTCGAGGGGCTTGCCAGCCAACCAGTCTGGCTGAGTCAGCTGAGTTCCTGGTTATGTCAGAGACCCTGTCTCAAACAAACAGACAGACAGAGATAGAGGAAGACACCCAACTTCAACCTCTGGTCTCTCAGGTGCACACAGAGGCATGTGAATGAATCCACACAAATATGCACACACACACACACAGAGAGAGAGAGAGAGAGAGAGAGAGAGAGAGAGAGAGAGAGAGAGAGAGAGGAGAGAGAGAACACAAGTCACTCATAAGAACCTGTTGTCACAAAAAAAACTGAACAAAAGTGGCCTGATGACCTTTTGAATATTGTTCTATATGGTATGTGCATTGGTGTGCACCTATAAACCCCACACTGGGCAGACAGACAGAGGAACTGCTAGTCCAAGGCCAATTGGGCTACATAGACACTGCCTCAAAAAATATCTTAAAGAAACAAAAGAACAGTGTACTGTAAAGTTCTATTTCTAATTAAGTCTGACAACATTGTTTCATTTGTGACTCAAAAACAAAGGGGAGCTCTTCCAGGAACTGCCATGTTCCCTTTCTTCTTCTTTTTTTTTTTTTTTTTCTTGGATTTTTCGAGACAGGGTTTCTCCATAGCTTTTTGGTTCCTGTCCTGGAATTAGCTCTTGTAGACCAGGCTGGCCTTCAACTCACAGAGATCCGCCTGCCTCTGCCTCCCGAGTGCTGGGATTAAAGGCGTGCGCCACCACCACCCGGCCCATGTTCCCTTTCTGTTCAAACTTCCAGTTTTCTCAGTCTCTGCTGCCATGTGCAATATGAGGTTTCTGCACTTGGGAGGCTGAGGAAGGAATATCAGGAATTCATGATCATCCTTGGCTGTACAGTGAGTTCAAGGCTAGTCTGAATATCTCCGATATGATGCTCTGTCTCAAATAAAATTCAATATAAGCTTAACATTCTGAAATTTTGAACTAGAAAGAATTCTTAAAATTTCATTTTTCAGGGCTGGAGAGATGGCTCAGAGGTTAAGAGCATTGCCTGCTCTTCCAAAGGTCCTGAGTTCAATTCCTAGCAACCACACGGTGGCTCACAACCATCTGTAATGAGGTCTGGTGCCCTCTTTTGGCCTGCAGGCAGACACACAGACAGAATATTGTATACATAGTAAATAAATAAATTAAAAAAAATTTCGTTTTTCAGGGTAGCATTCTCCTGATACCAAAACCAGATAAAGACATACATACACTTATATACTCACACACAAACACACACACACACATACTCACACACACTCAAACACAAATACATTTCAACAATATTACACACACACTTATTTACACACATTTAAAAGTAGGAAAAATGAAAAGTTTCTGTTTGTAATGAATGTTAAGGTGGCTTGAATAAGAAGGGGCTGGGCTAAAGGTGCCCCACCTCTCCCGGCCAGGCTCCTGTATCTGAATGTGTGTTTCCCAGCTGGTGGACTGTTTTGAAGAAATTAGGAGGTCTGGCCTTGTTGAAGAAGGTGCACCACTGTAGGGTAGGCTTTAAAGTTTAAAAAGCCCACACCAGACCTAGTCTCATCTCTCTTTCTGCCTCAGGAAAACTTGAGAATGAATTTAGCCTTTGGGCTCCAGGGGATTCGGCCACTGTGGACTGAAGTGCTTGCCCTCAGCCCTTCGGCAACTTTATTTTTCCCTATGTTTACACTTTAGTTAGTAGATTTACATATCTCAGAACAAACTGAATGAAGCTTTCAAAAACACAATGTCAAGTGCAAATACCTGATTCATGAGATTCCATGATTTCTGGGTGGGTTTTTTTTTTTTTTTTTTTTTTTTTGGTTTTTCGAGACGGGGTTTCTCCGTAGCTTTTGGTTCCTGTCCTGGAACTTGCTCTTGTAGACCAGGCTGGCCTTGAACTCAGAGATCCGCCTGCCTCTGCCTCCGGAGTGCTGGGATTAAAGGCGTGCGCCACCATCGCCAAGCTTTAAAATGTTTTAATATAATAGTTTGTTTTTTATGACAATGAGACCTGTCTGCTCCTGGCAGCACCAATCTACTTCAGAGAAGATAATGGGCATCAAAGAAACTCCACATGGAGTTTACTTTCTTTGTGGCAAAAATGAGATACTGGGCAAGAAAATGCCCCTGCCTCAGCTGCTGACTAATTAGTATACTAATTGAATAGGCAAAACACAAAAGAGAGTGACTGCCAAACATTGTCAAGACAAAGTGGCAGGATAGCTGTTCAGAATATCCTGCTTCACAGAAAAGTCTGTTGCCTAATGTAGGCATTACACAATGCACAAATGTACTGGTAACCACTAAGTAAGCACGTTGTATCTGTCAATTAAAATTACTTTAGCGCTAGTGGTTCAGTAGATAAAGTATTTGCCACAAGAGTGAGGATCAGAGTCTGGATTCTCCAAATCCACATAAAAGCCGGTGTGTGCACCTGTAATCCTGGATGTGTGCGGGTGTGTGTGTGTGTGTGTGTGTGTGTGTATGCAAATGGCTATTTAGGACAAAGTTTCTCATTCGAGGAGAGGATCTGCCTCAGAATATGAGGCGGGAGGGGGGGGATCACCCAGGAGGAACTAAAGCCAACCTCAGGCCTCCACAAACATCTGCATGTGTGTCCCCGACACACCACCAAAGTGCCCATACGCTCACAAACACAATACACACACATATTTAAGGTTTTGTTGTTGTTTTGTCTTAGCTCAACATATTTAATTTGAGCCTGGGAATTGCAGAGAAGCAGCTGAAGATCATCCTCGGCTACAAACCAAGTTCACCAGCTTCACAAAGGGACGTTGCCTTAAGACAAAACATCCACCCTTGCCGGGCGGTGGTGGCCCACGCCTTTAATCCCAGCACTTGGGAAGCAGAGGCAGGCGGATCTCTGTGAGTTCGAGACCAGCCTGGTCTACAAGAGCTAGTTCCAGGACAGGCTCAAAAAAAAAAAAAAAAAAAAATCCATCCTTAAGCTTCAAACCCTACACACTCCATTCTAATTCACTATATAGAGTCCCTGGATCCAGCAGCTTCTAAGTTTATGTTCTCTAACCGACACGTTCCTCAGCAGAGGCTGAGCAGTGCATAGCGCCTTTTAGCCCTAGGTAGAAGGCTACTGATACAAGCCCAGCTTAAACGCGGCTGAGGGGGGGGGGGCGCGGGAGAACGGACATACTGCGGCAGAAAAAAAGGCCTCCTGGGCGCTTTCACACCCCGGGTCTCTGAACGTCAGCACACGGGGCCGCAGACGTGAGCGGGGGTTGGGCAGCCGGGTCCTGGGGTCGGGCTCAGATCAGAATCGCCTCGGTAATCAGCGGCCGGGACAAACCCGGCCTCGTCTATCTGATCAATTCATCACTTCTGAGCGCCGGGCCCGCAGGACCGATCCCGAGACCTCGGGAACCTCGGCACTGCCACCGCCCAGGGGGGCCTCGCTGCACAGCGCCCCGCGGAGGGGGCTTCGCAGGAGGGCTGCTTTTCATTTCGGGACGGCCCGGCGGGGCGGGGGTCACGACCCGATCAAATAAGATCAAGGTGTAGGCGGGGGAGGGGCGCGGGGCGGACACACTCACTCGCCTCGCACACCCCAGGCGCGCACACACACTCCCACATCCTCACTCGCACTCAGCCCACACGCGCCATGCACGAAACACCACACCACACTAAACAGCCCGCGTCCAGGACCCCGGCCACGCTCCCACTCGCGAGGAAGCGGAAGCTGCACTCTCTTTTAAATGCTCCGTCCTGTCCCAAAGGATTCTGGGAGGAGCAACAGAGTGGTCCGGCAGCGCCCTCAAATCATGTTTGCCCAGAGCACTCTCTTCTGCCTCCGTGTGGCTGGGAGGTCCCAGAACAGAGGGACCGATTTCCATAAACAGAATTGGGTTTAGTGGTATTTTGTTTATAAAAGTCTTAAGTAGCCCAGTCTGGTGTCCGACTCAAGATCTCTTCTGCTTCAGCCTCCGGGTGCTGCGATTACAAGCCGACAGAAAGGCCGACTCCTTTACAATGTACCAGTTTATATAAAATGTAAATGTTTATATCCTTGTCTAGTTTTTCTTTGTTTTTTTTTCTTTGCCCCAAATTAAAAAGTATCCAATTTCTAGCTATGAAAATGATCATAAGTCACAGACTTATAAGTGAATGACCGTATTTTCCGTGGATTTAGCAACCCTAGATTATTACTAACAAAAGCATCCTGCGATCACTCTTCCAGGCGTGCTTTCTCGCTGACAATAAACATCATTTATCACATGTATTGGCAGAGTGAGAGCAGTGTGTCATGGTGCACGTGTCGAGGTCAAAGGACAACTTGCAAAGAGTCGATTTTCTAACATGTGAGTCCTGATATCAAACTCAGCCTGACAGATTTGGTGAGCAGGCACCCTTACCCACAGAACCACCTAGTAAGCCAGCAAGTATCATTTAATCAAAGGACATTTGAGTACTTAAAGAAACCGAGTAACTGTAAAATGCAGACATGTACAACCGAATAACCCTAGCTTCACTTATACAGTCTGCTGGCTGCCCAAAACGATGCTGAGCCTTCATTTACATTCATTCCATTAAAATAGATCTTTGTACCAGGCACAGTGGTGTATGTCTTTAACCCCAGCATGTGAGAGGCAGAAGCAGGTCAAACCTCTGAGTTCAAGGCCAGTCTAGTCTACATACTAAGTTACAGGAAAGCCGGGGGGTACATAGTCAGACCAAATAAATAAATAAATAAATAAATAAATAAATAAATAAATCTGATTTTCCACTTCCACGAGTGAAATGACAATTAGGTAGATTTGCCTCTCACCACAGAGAGCTGGTTAATATTTCATCGCCTCCTCTGTCCTTTTTCAATAAGGGTGGGAGTGTGTGGCAAAGTAGCCTTTAGAAGAAAATTATTTCTGAAGCTGTAATTTGTACTTGTGCCAGTCCTTACTTGGCACTTCCAACACACAGACATGGAGGAAAGTACCCAAAATGTGCTCCAGAATCCCATTGCTCAGATATTTTCTAAGGTCTGGGTGGTTAACCCGGAAACCTTTTAGAATGGAGTTCACCAATAACGAACGGCATTGTCTCTCTAATTGTGGGCCTGTTGGTTGAGTGTATTAGTGGAGCTACCTGCCTCATTTAATAGACTTTATCTTTGACTTGCTATATTCCGCTCCCCCAGGAGAAAGCTTGGCCGACATATCTTCTGAACTCTATCAAGTCCCAGTAACCTTCACAAGGAACTCATCCGAGGACAGTATCACGCAGGTGAGCCAACACGCCACACTATGGGAAGAACCCGAGGAAGTGCTGACCAGGTCAATAAACACACACACCAAATCAGACAACAGTCACAGGGAAAAAAGGTTTATTTTCAAGGACTATGCCAACAATGGTGAATAAAAAATGGTATTTCAACTATAAAAAGGAGCTGATTTCATTTGATCCTGGTGCACAGGGTTCGTGGTAATGAACCTGAATCTGAGGCAATATTGCTACCCTCACACCTCCACCCCTAGAGGACTGCCCCTAGAGGAACAATTTGTCAGTTTTTGAGAGCCATCAGTCTACATAATAAGTACAGCGGGTTCCTATGTAGCTGCTTACATAAAGTCAAGAGTTAAGAAGTAAAACAGGCTATTTGCTTCTTCATGTACTTTTTGGAATTCTGGTGAGAAAACATCTTAAAATCTACCAACTCAGGCATTTAGGCCAAGAGGACCCATGAGGAGACTCAGAATGAAAAGCTGTCTAAGAAATGAAGCTGCTCTACAGACCACAGCTGGAGACATCAGCCCTACTGGTGACAATAGGTCACCAAAACCAAAGTAACTAGTGCTGAACCTGCCTCCCACGGGACACCCAACTCACACTCGGGCTCTATCTCTCCAGATTTCGTCTCTCCCCTGTGAACAATCCTCAGGAATGACCACGGAAACAGCAATGGTTGCAATCCGCCCCGTGGACGAGTTCTTGGAGAGAGATGCTCACGAATGCAGTGCTTTCTACTGCTACAATCACAGCACTCAGAGGCTTCGGAACCTAAGCTTCCCAGCAGCCTTGTCCTGTAGCGTATGCAGACCAGCGCTGGTCCTCAGGCTCTACCATGGACAGTTCAACTGGACCGCCTGTGTATATCCTGCTGTATTAGCATTAGCATTAATATTAGACCTACTTTAAGAGTGTTGTCGACTTTACAGCTAACAGCTGATTCTTTTGCAGGCATAAGGAGGAAGGGGTGGAGAAGTCTTCACTTCAAATGTTTAGTCATCTAAGATCATCTGCTCAGGAATCCACACCCAGGAAAAGCCCTGAATACTCAGCTGGAAAGCTCTGTTTTCCTTTACTCGTTTTATTAATGGACTCTATGAGCTGTCCAATATGTTAATATCGGGACCCCTCTCATCTCAATTTCTCATGGTCTTATAGTAAAGACAACAGTGGAACACTGCACTATGAAGAAAACTGAGAGCTGGCAGGGAACAACTAAACACCGCTGTAACCCAGACTAAAGAACAAGCTTGCGTCTTTTATAACATGACAGAATTCCCAGCTATATATGCTTTCATTACAGTAAATTCTTATACTAAATGAATTTACTAGTATATGGATTGTTATACTAATTTACTTATCTCTTCTACCAGAATTCCAAATATATTAATTATTCATTCAATAGTTCCCTCCCCTGGCATTGGTATTTAAAACTGAGTAACAGTACTTAGCACTATGCAATTTCAAAAACTTTAGGAAATAGCAAGAGTTGGTTGACTTTCTGCTATCAGTTGGTCAAGTGGAGTCATCTTTGGGGACACTGGTAAGCAGCGAATGCTCCTGGTCTCAGGTCACTGCTTCTCGTCTCCAACTCTAGAGCCCTGGATTGCACATACGCTCAGATTCTCTTGGGAAAACCCTCAAGCTACAAGCACATGGCAATCTGTGCTCTTTACACTGAAATTCCTGCTCTCTTCAGCTCCTAGATGATCATAGAAAAAACACATTTCAAACCATTTCCTGGCCTTTCATAACTCCTATTTCTCACCCAGTCCCACCCTCCCTCCCCAATTCACCAGATCCAAATTAGCCAATAAAAAAGTCAAGCCTTAAAAATTATCTTCTGGCACACACCTTTAATCCCAGCACTCAGGAGACAGAGGTAGGCGGATCTCTGAGTTTGAGGCCAGCCTGGTCTACATTGAGAGCTTGACGACAGCCAGGGCTATGCAAGGACCCAGTTTCAAAAAAAAAAAAAAGAAAATAAAAAACAAACAAACAAATAAAAAAAACCCCAAAAGTCTCCCCTTCCAGGAAGTCTGAATACAGCCTGTATCCTTGTATCCTTCCATGATGAGCCTCAGTTTTAAAAGGTTCTGATGAGGGACCGAAGAGCAAGATAGATGACCAGTTGTCGGTTGTTTTTTTTAGTGTTGGGGATCAAACCCAGGACCCTGACAATGCTAAACAAATGTTCTACCATTGAACCCCAGGTTTTTTAAGCAGAAGGTACATAATCATATATCCAAGGGGTGTGATTTATCTGGAGATATATGCTTGCTGCTGAGGGCTGATTAACAGAGAGATCTAGAAAAGTTGGCTTTCTGGAGTCCCCTGGAGCAAAAATAATGTTCGTGACCATGAGTTCCCCCACATATGGCAGACAGAAGCTGCGGTGTCATCTTAGGGACACTGGTGATTCTAGCTGAACTCTCCTACACTGGGTCCAGGTTTCCGGCAAGTTCTTCATCTTTATCCCCTTGGTTGGCAGTTCATGAGTGGGATACTTGAGAATTCATTTGATAAACAGGACGTAAAAGGCCATTACAATGCAGGCAATTGCAACAGCAGCATGCAGTCGGGTCCCAATCACAGCAGCTAGAAGACAGAAGTACAGAGATGTTACATGCTGCTCCTCACAAAACCCTTGCTTCCAAAGCCATGTTCTGAAGCCTCTAAAGAGAACCAAGTTTCCAGAGTCTTGGAATGTTCTTAAGTGATATATTATGCTCTAGGCTCTACATGATTGCTTATCCCCTTGATCTTTCTTATTTTTTGAGATGGAATCTCACTATGTAGCCCTGGCTAGCCTCGAATTTATAGGTAGAACAAGAATGTCTTTGAACGCATAGGAAACTACCTGCTTGTCTGCCTCGGTCCCAAATGCTGGGATTAAAGATGTGTGCTGCCATGCCTGGCCTCCCATTCCTTTTTGAGTCAAAAGTTCATTATGTAGCCGGGCGGTGGTGGCACGTCCCTTCTGCTTCCAGGTCACATGCGTTATATCACTCTCTCCTCCACCAAGACCTCTTCTTCCTATCTTTTTTCTTTAAGATTTATTGGCCGGGCGATGGTGGTGCACACCTTCAATCCCAGCACTTGGGAGGCAGAGGCAGGCGCATCTCTGTGAGTTGGAGGCCAGCCTGGTCTATAAGAGCTAGTTCCAGGACAGGCTCCAAAGCTACAGAGAAACCCTGTCTCGAAAAAACAAAAACAAAAACAAAACACAACAACAACAACAAAAAGTTCAGTATGCAATCTAGGCTGGATTTGAACTTTTGAGTGCTAGGAATACTGGTATGTAGCACCATGCCTGTCCCTATTTTACCCTATTTTGAAAACATAGTTCCATAGGATTCCTGATGAAGGTACTCAAAATAACAAAGTTAATATATGTATACTATTTGAGCTAAAAGTTAAGGTTCCAATGTGTTCTGCTTAAAAAAAAAAATCAAAAAAAAAATCAAAAAAAAAATCAGTGGATAGGCTGGAGATGTTGGCTCAGTGGTTAAGAGCACCTGTTGTTCTTTCAAAGGACCTGGGTTCGACTCCCAGCACCCATAGGGAGGCTCACAACTTCCTCAGGCACCAGGCATGCACGTGGTACACAGACACACATGCAGGCAAAGTATTCATCTGAATAAAATAAATCTAAAAAAAATTTTTTAAAGTGATGGAAAAATATTCTTCCTGCTAGGAAGAATTTCAGCCCAGCCTAAAATTATATAACTTCTAACATATCCCCACCTCACCCCAGAACACAGAATATTACTCTGTTGCTCACACAGGCTTCTTGGCCTCCCAAGTAACTGGGACTATTAGCATGTACCACACTTGGCATTGTAGACTTTTACTTAATCCTAGAATACCAAAACTACCTAAACAGTAAAATAAACAACTATGCCTTAAGTAACAGCAAATTTAAATTTTATCTCTTCCCTCAAATGCAGAAATGACTATTTTATATTATTAACAGATGGGCAGAGCACTTTCCACACAAGCATGAGGACCTGAGTTAAAACCCCAAAAGCTACAGAAAGCTGGCCAGAGTCACACATATCTTGTACTCTCAGTACTTCCGGGAAACTCCTGGAGGCTCACAGGCTGGCTAGCCAGGTGTGCAGAGCAGCAAGCACACACCCACAACACATCATACTAAAGATGAACGTAAACATAACCCTGGCCGTGTGCTTTCTAGTTTACAGAACCTCGCCGTTGAGAAATCTTTCTCCTCTCTGAGTCCAGATAAAACCTTACCTTTGTAAAACACACCCCAAACTCCCTTCTTCTCTGAGAGCAGCCAGGTTTTGAGACGAGGTACTTTCTTGAAGTAGGCACAGGTGCAAACAAAGAGCAAACCAAACACCAGAATCCCGTCCAAGGAGTACACTGTCATATGAAGAAGAAGAAAAGGTCTTTGGTGCTGCTCTCTCTGGCTTGGGGAAGGGGAGCCTGCCCAGAGCTCAGTGCTGAGGTCACCTCAACAGCAGTGCCAACACTCAACAGCAAGGGTCCGACACCTAGCAACTTCCCAAACTTGCTTGTAAACAGCCTCTTTTTACCACTTTACTGCCCCATCCTCAGGACAAATGGAAAACGGGTGTATTTGTGGAGACTCTTGGGAGTAACTGGTGCTTATACGAGATTTTAAGGATCTTGAGAGTCCGAGCATAAAGATTTACATATGTTCTTGGTATAAATCACACATCTGATGAAGGAAAGTTCAATCTTAAGCCAAGTTTTTCGGATCTGCAAGTTTTTCGATAAAGCATGTGAAGGCAGACCATAAAGCTTAGTGGAAATTCCAAGCGTTCGACTTCATATGGCTACACTTTTGCTATACTCATTTGATACTTCAAGCATGAGTCACCATTTACAAATCAGATTCCTGCCAGAACAAAAAATGTGCATAAGAGGAAAAAAGATAAGAAAAATTGACATCCAAAAAGTGCATCCACAATGAGGCACTGCCATGATACTGGCATTAGCCAAGCTCAGCCTAAGATGCAGAGGGAGACCATGTCCTACAGATGCGTAGGCAGGGCTGACCTTAAACCAGGCTCTGTCCGCTTCCCTCTTGCCAATGCCAGGCTTCAAGGCATGCCACACACAACGTGCAAAGTCCGGTCTCAAAAACAACCAAAACAAAAACGTGTTCGATGCTTAGACACCATGGCAAGCTCTTAGCTCTGTTTCATGTGTTATATAGGTAAGCAAAACGAATTACATAAAGGTAAATTCTATCCACTACACCAGAATGTGTTTCCTAGTTCACATTATGTCTTCCTCTGGGTGATGTTCCTTTTCTAACTCTGTGTACTGTGGTAGGACTGACTACCCTGAAAGCTTCGAATGGATATTACATCCAAACCAGTGTCTGCCAGCTCCTCCCAGTTCTGGACCACACTGTCTTCCTCTAGGGAAACTATCACAGCTAGTTCCAGAGCATCAGTACACTCACAGTTGTCATGGACACCTTGGTGTGCTGCTCTTTTGCTCCTGTAAGTTCTTGTAGGCAATGCCAAAATTCACAAGGGCGTGACATTTGAGTCTTCCCGTGTAAGTCTATGAAAGTCTATGAGAAATGCTTTCTGAGCCCCTCCAATTATTAAAAAAAAAAAAAGCTATCTCACTTCCTTTCCTGCAAGACTGACTATAAAGGTCTTAATTCCTCCTCTAGAACTTGGAAGGCATGACTATAAAATCGTTTGAAGCAGCCTGGAAAAGTTAAGCGAGCTAAACGGGGGTGGGGCAAGTGCTCCATCAGTAACAAAAGGCGGCTTCTAAATCCACCCTTTGCAACAGAAGCCAGAAGCTCCAGATGGAACCACCCAGCTAGGATTTGAAAGCCAAACAAGTGACGGCTTTTTGTCATAAAAACAAACATGCAAAAAAGTTTGGGGTTTGTCTACATTCACCTCCCCCGCAAAGTGGGGGGTTTGATACCATTTCTACGTCCTCTCAACCAGCCTACTGTCCGCAAATATGAGACTTTAGGGAACCTGATGATACCCTCTGTTCCCTGGGGACTAACAGCACTAATTCTACGGTGACCGACCTCCCCAGTGGCCAGAACCAACTTCTAGGAAAGAAAAGAGAGAAATGATAATCAAAAAGTCAGATGTGAGCACTAGGCAGTGCTGGGGAACACTGATGAACGTGAGAAGAGGGAACCTGCGAGAAGCATCCCAGACAGGAGTTAGGGGCTCCCCAAGGCCCAGGGGGGCTGGGCTGGGAGGGGGCGGGGGGAAAGGCCACGTCAGTCTAGCCCCGCCCGCCACGTTTGTCCCCCGTCCTCTACCGCTACCCTCTGGTCCGGCCTCCAGCTCTCACCGTTCGTCATGGCGGTAGGGCCCGGCCGGGATGAGGGTCCGGGTTCAGCAGCAGCGGCGGCGAAGGCGGGGGCTCCCGGCTCCCACTTTGACACTTCCCGATCCGGGCCTGGGTGACGGAGACGAGTCGTAGTACGCAAGCGCAAGGGCCGAGAGAAGAACGCCGAACTCAATCAGACGTAACTAGCGGATAGTCGAGCTAAGGACCCTCCTCTCCTAGTGTCCTGCCTAGCGTGAGACGGGCGTGGCCGGCGAGGCTTCCTTTGTGGTCATGGCAACCATCTGTCTGCAGCTTGCATCTGTTCCGTCGGCTAGACTGACTGGACAGTTCCCTGTGTTTGAAAAATAAAGGCTGGAGGATTTCCTCTGGGGCTGCTGCTTTGTGTGTGTTTATGAGTGTGCGAGCAACAGCCTGCCTACAATCCGGGGAGAGCAACTATGCTCTCTCTCCATCACGGAGTATGCCAGAATGTTCTCCGCCGCGTATCTTCTTGAGAACAAGACTTTCAGGACCAAGTGATTCCTGAAAGAAACAAAAGAAAACCATCCCTTTTCTTCCAACACATGTAGGTGACAAGTGGTGATGAAATCAGGTACAGTTTCACGAGGGCACCGGAAAGCAGGCTGGTGGCTCACGTCTGTACACTACGGCAGGGTCACTTCATCTTACCATAGCAAGCTGGAAATAGCACCGCTGTCAGGAGGGTGGGCCTATCTTCTTGGGGGATACAGTTTTTTGTTTGTTGTTTTGCTTCCACGCTCTACAGTAGTACTATGTTCTGTAATACCTGAAATCCAACGAGAAAGTATGAGGGCGGAGGGGGACGCAGCAGTTACTCAGGCTTCTGGGACTTGCCCTTGCTGGGTGGCTTCTCCTGGCGAAAATCTAGCCAAACCGCGTCTGAATTTTGTAAACGAAATAAGGAACTTCACAACAAAAGCCCCATATTTCACTCTGTTGTCAGAAGCGTTCAGGCGATTTCCTGTTTGTTAGGATGGGCTTTTCTTTTCCTTAAACTATCAGGATAGTTTCCTTTATCTCCTGCATTTAAGTCACGCTGGGGTCACCTCAGGCACTTTATTCAGAAATCTGCCCTGTCACGGCTTCTCTGAGGATATTTTGACAAGATGATGAAAGGCATCCGTCTAATGATGGAGTGGGTACCGGAGACAAAGCTGTAGGTTCTACTTTGTAAGCCGGAGCCTTTAATTACAGACAATTCAGTCTGCTTTATTAGAGTCTGGGTGAAGGCGATGCCCTAAATCATGAGAGTGGTTGTCAAAAGAACCTGAGAATTCTGCTCATTCCTGCTACAGTGCCATCTGCTGGCTGTGAACTGTCTGGTTACTGAGAGGAAAACTCAGGTTTGAAATGGAGACTGAAGAGGAGGGGGAAACCATCGCCAGCAACCACAGATGTAACAAAGTTTAATGTAGGAAAGACTCTTGAGAAAACATACTTAAATTAAGAAATCGGGGCTGGAGAGAGATGGCTCAGTGGTTAAGAGCATTGCCTGCTCTTCCAAAGGTCCTGAGTTCAATTCCTGGCGACCACATGGTGGCTCACAACCATCTGTAATGAGGTCTGGTGCCCTCTTCTGGCCTGCAGACATACACACAGAATATTTTATACATAACAAATAAATACTTAAAAAAAGAAATTACAGCATCAAAAAATAAAAGATACGTAGGAAAAACTAAGCTAAGCCAGACAATCACTCAGATTACATATGTGTAGGCATACACACAGGGCATTTCACAAACTAAAATAGGACTGTCGAGGTGGCTAAGAGCATTTGTTGCTCTTGCTAAAGACCTGAGTTAGGTTCACGATTGTCTGGTCCTCTAGTTTCAGGAGAGCCTGTTAGTTACAGAAAAATGTGCCTTCCTAGTCAAAAATCCCTCCTCACACTTAGAGGTAAAGGACGAAAAGCTCTATACTAAAGTGTCTGGCCGACTGTGGTTAAAGCCTAAGTTAGAGCGGGCCTTGACAGAAGAGTTTCCTAACTCGTATACACAATAAGCTTCTGCATTCCTGATGGAGGAAGGACATTGGTTAATTATAATAAAGAAACTGCCTTGGCCCATTTTATGGGATAGAAAATTAGGTAGGCAGAGTATACAGAAGAGAATGCTGGGAAAAAGAAGCTTAGTGAAGGAGTCGCCATGATTCTCCCGCTCCAGACAGACGCAGGTTAAGATACTCCCTGGTAAGCCAGCTCGTGGGCTACACAGAATATTAGAAATGGGTTAGAACAATATGTAAGAGCTAGCCAATAAGAAGCTGGAACTAGCCGGGCCAGGCAGTGTTTGAAAGAATACAGTTTCCATGTAATTATTTCGGGGCATAAGCTAGCCATGCGGGTGGCCGGGTGCCGGGGACGCAGCCCTGCCGCTCCTATTTCAACACATTCCCTGAACACAGTCTCACCTGAAGTCTCTTTCGGGTCCCAGCCCCAGGCTACACTTCGATCGGTTTGAACAGAGACAGGATACTACAAGTCTGACTTCTTAGGCTCAGAAGAGATTTACAAAGCAGAAATGCTACCTATTGCCAGAATTATTTTAAGTATAGCAGTGTTGTTCTTTTTTGAATGGCTTTTACCCAGGGTCATCTTGTCCACCTGGCAAAACTATTTCTTTCCTGTTAAGAACACAGGAGACTTAATTGCAGATCAGGACTTGATGGTGAGTGTGACCCTAAGACGCCCTCTTGAGCTCCCCTCTGAGAGGTATGTCTAATGGCAGGTATGACCAAATGGCAGCGGGTCAGTCCTGGTGAGGAAACATTCACATCCGGGCATCCTAAATTTCACTTGTCTAAGAGGCCTGGTTAGCATGCTACTTATCTTTGGGTAATTTTGAAGGCACTGTTCCTTTAACTATGTCTACCTGTGTGGTTTACTATCTCCTAAGAAAATCTATCACTAAATCCTTTTTAACATCAATTTTATTACTTTGAGTAATCCCAGCCCTTGGGAGGCAGATAAGGCAATCCTTGTCAATTCAGGACCAGTCTGGTCTACACAGCAAAATCTGGGCCAACCAAGGCTGTGTATACACACACACACACACACACACACACACACACACACACACACACACGTCAGGCCCAAAGGAAGCTCCAATTCCCCGAAAGGCAGTCCAGATATCTAGAAATGAGCTCAACCTGGACTACAGGAGATTTCTGGCAGCTAGATAAAAGGCATCACTCCTCAGGAACTTGTAGGGCCGGTTACTGTCTGTCAAAGGGAGTCACTTCCTAGAAATCAACGCACGCGCTGGCCTCCAGGCTCCTACAGTAGCACAGTTCCTGTGACACATTTCAAAGTCCACGCCAGCATCCTAGCCCTTCTCACCTCCTCCACTACTCTAAACTCCCTTCGGCCAGAGCTTCCCTCCTGACAGCTACTCAGCCTTTTTGAAACCCAGCTTTTTTCTCTGTGCTCCCTCCGTTCCTGCCCCTATTTTCACAAGTCTTCTCTCTTCCACCTCCCTAGCACTGGCCATGCCCCATCTGCGGGCTGTATTCAGCCTACTGCCCTCTCTCTCTCTCTCTCTCTCTCTCTCTCTCTCTCTCTCTCTTTCTCTTTCTCTGTCTCTCTGCTTGGGCTCCGATAGATGCCTCTGGATGTTCTCTCTTTCATATCTACAATAAAGCCTGGAGCCATCAGTTTATACATACATGTTGTTTTCTCCGCTGTAAAACTTCATTAGCATGGTATAACCTTTCTAAGGCTATTGGATTAAGTGAACTACTGTTTACAATAATAGTTGATATGAAGTATTACTCTATCAAGACTAGCTACTGTAGCTGGGCAGTGGAGGCACAGGCCTGTAATTGAAGCACTCGAGAAGCAAAGGCAGGTGGATCTCTGAGTTTGAAGCCAGCGTGGTCTACAGAGCAAGTTCCAGAACAGCCATCGCCACACAGAGAAATTCTGTCTCAAAAACAAAAACAAAAAAATCAAAAACAAATGGACAAAAACATCACTGATGTTCATTTGTGTAAAAAGTATTTACCAGTATTTATGATGTACTGGGTGGGCATTTGTTAGGTTTTGCAGAGATAGCAGCAAAGATAAGTCCCTGCCCCCAAGAGAACAACACCTATTAGGTAAGACAGCTAAATACACAAATTTAAGAGTATAAAGTCATTATACCTCTGACATTGTTATAGATTTTGTGACATATCTGTGGAATATTTTTAAATGACAAATCAAATGAGAGTCTGAGAGAAGGAGCACGAGGAGCCTGTGGGTAGCTGGGATCTGGACCTAGATCTCTGCAGCATCGAAGCTGCCTTCACTTGTAATCACATTGCCTCATAGTTCAGTGCTCTCTGCCGTGCTGGTCTGTGGTGATTTTTGTCCCAAGCATTGTTTCCGTCTCGCTGGAAAGCCCCCATAGCCTTGGTGCCATCCATCCCTGCCGACGTGTTTCACACCAGGCTGAAGCCTGGGTCACTGGCCCTCAGAGCTCAAATGCAAGGAATAAATAGAGCCCCGCTAAAACGGGCGCCTCAATTCACACTCCTTCATCAGTTCATTTCAGCCGACACCGGAGAGCTGGCAGTTCTGGCCAAACGCCTGTCAGCCCAGAACAGTGGCCTGTTTGTTAAGACTGCTGTGGTCATTGTGACAAACACCAATCAGTCTTGGGGACCATGACCGGAGCATTCTGGTGTAACCAAAGGATAAATTCAGTCCTGAAGGCATAGCTTGCAACAATAGCTTCATTTGAATGAGACCCATTTGAAAAGGGATGTCAAACAGGCATTCCCTACACTAGACAGACACATTTGTTTCCAGACTTCTAAGAGGAAGGAATGTGCCAACCATAGGGAGGGAGTCGAGATGAATGAGAAACAGACTCCGTTCTTAGTGAGTTTACGATTTAGTAGAAACAGATAAGCTGCCTATAGAAATAACCAGAAAAATGAGGCAGAAAGTGAGAATTGTCAAAGAAAAATTAAAACTAAGGGCTGTGGGAGGATGAAGGAGAAACCGCTTTCAGTCAGAGAAGGCTTTATCCAAGAGCAGCCATCTCCCTGGGCCTGAGGAGCAGACTGTGTTGCAATAGGAGGAAAGACATTCCAGGGGGGAAGGCTGGCAGTCAAAGGCTGGCGGTCAAAGGCTGGCGAGGGCTGAGCACGCTGCACT